AGAGGATCCTGTCTGTTCCCCCGTGTCTGTGAGTGACCTCCCCAGACCCAGTACTGGCACAGATGGCCTTGCCTGTCCCCTGCCCTACCTGAGTCTGACTTTTCCTTTCCCCCACTAGAGGGCAGGATTCCTGGTCTAGCGGCTTGGTCCAACGTAGTGAATACTTTCTTATCCTCCCCAACTAGATCTCTGATGCCTTGAACCAGAGGTTTGCAAACTTTTACAACCATGGACTCCTACTGGTAAAAAAAATTCTAAGCTTGCATCATCCCCCATTATACATAGATCATAAAAGGCACACGTGTCACTCTCTGCCTATATATTAAATACTAACCAAGCTTAATTTTTTTTAGATAAAATAACTGTGACTAGAGGTTCTGATCGTTTCTTCCCATGGATACTTGCACGAGCTGCACACTCAAGGTTCATCCTCACCAAAGGGGCCCATGAGAACCACAGTCCTTGGTCCTGCTCTGCTGAGGCTCTTCTCAGCCCTGCTCAGTTTGTGGGCTCGACTCGGGGGTTTCCATCCATCCCGTCAACGTACTCCATCCTGGAGACCATCTCTGAAGTCTCCTGTCAGAGGTGGCCGGAGGTTATGGGAGCACAGGGGCAGGAGGAAGCCCGGTGTCCTTGCTCTCCGCTGCTGGTGGGTGTCTGCAGCAGGGACAGAGGGGGCTGGAGGGAGAAAGCCCCTTTTTATCCTCCCTGGGATGGGAGAGGTGGCTCCGTGGGCATGAGATGAAGAACGCGCTGTTATTCTCCATCTCTAGAGTCCAGGGCTCCAGAATCAAATTCCTCATTCAAATGCCAATATGCGGGGGCGGGGTGTGTGAAAATTCCCACCATTACACCCCCAAACCTGCTGACCGCCCGGAAGGCCCAAGACACGGAGGCAGCCTGTGGGCGGATCCTGGAGCTGCAAGAGGGAAGGGTCGAGAGGGATGGAAGGCTGGGAGGTCATTTACAAAGCACAGCTCGGCCCACGTTATCAGGGTGGTGGGGGCCTGCTGCCCCTCCAAGGACAGAGACACAGGGGTGAGTGGCAGGTCGTGGTTCAGGGCACGCAGGGAAGCCGGCTTCCCCGACCCGCGGCATCGCACTGGGACCTGGGCCTCCGCTGGTCCCTCCCCTTGCAAGGCTGCCTGGCATTTGACAGTGTTTAATGAGGAGGTTCCTCTGGCAGCCCTGGGAGGCCTGTGGGAGGTGGGCATGCAGCCAGGAGAATCCCAGAGACTGCCGGGTGTGCAGCCGCCGGCCTCGGAACCGGTGATGTAATGCTCACTGGGGTCCCGGCAAAACAAGCCCCATGTTGTCACTGCCCCCTGGCAACCAGGCGCCACCCTCCCGACAGGGTGGCTGTTCCACACAAGGCGACCTCCCCTCCCTCCCTCCCTGCCAGGAGGAGATGGGAAAACCTTTATTGTCACATAAAAGCCAATCCAAGATATGAGAGATGTCTTTTAAAAATGCATCTTGCTGAAGAGGGATTTCCATAGCAACTTCAGATGCGTGTGTACACAACTAGAGATGAGTCCAGGCTGGCGAGGGACACCTGGGATGTGTGCAAGTCCTGCTCGGGGCATCAGCAGCCATGGGTTTTGCTAGAAGCTGTCATCCTGCTCTGTGACCCAGGGCAAGTCACTCACCCTCTCTGGTGTCAACAGTGATAGGTTCATAATCACATCAAGCCAGGAGAGATCAAGGTCCTCTCATCCATACCCCCCCCAACACACCCCAGTTTGACGCTTCAGTCCCTCAAAGCATCCCACGCTCCCAGTTTCTGTCCAGTCTCTGGTTGAATAACTCCTGCCTCAAGGTCTCTGCTAGTCTTACTTATTATCTGACTTTGGGAAAGACAAGGATCATTCAAACTTGGTTCTAAAAAAAATCGGTTGGTCTTTGTAAGAGAAGAGCTTTGCCTAATTGGGGAATGTATGCACTCACTCATGTGTGCGTTCCCCACATCAGGTTCCTGGGGAAGTCCTTGAGATGCTGAGGTTTGGGGATGGGAGGTTTATGGAAACCGCTCACAGGGGCCTGGAGGAAGCAGGAGGAGCAGAGTCCTCCAGTCTCCTCTCAGGGACCCCAGATTTACCCTGCGAAGCACTGCCCAGATAAGCTCAGAGACACCCGTTACCCCTGACCAAGGACTTGACCTGGAGCCAAGCAGTTGCCTTCAGCCTGGGCAGCCCTGGGAGGAGCAAGGCAGAGCCAACCCAACCCAGGCTGGGAGTGAGGCCGGGTCCTGGGGGAGCAGCTGGGCGAGCCCCACGTGTCCACTACTCAACAGTGTGCTTGAATTGCAATGAGGCCAGCCCTGGAGACCGAGGGACACCGAGCGGACATCAGAGGCAGGCAAGGCAGGGGGACTGGGGTTCAAGTGTCAGTTTCCATGGCCCTGAGAGTCGCACACTAAGAGAACTGGTAGAAGAGCCAAAGCCACGGTCCCCTCGTTAAGTGCAGGATCCAGTGGGCTGACGAGGCGTGAAGCTCAGGGCCATGGGAGTCAGTCACACCAGGCTTCCCACTTCCTGGCTCTGTGACCCTGGCCAGTTATTTTACATCAGCAGACTCCAAAATGGGGACATCAAGGTCCTTCTGCCATCAGGTGTTGTGAGGACAAGTGGAGGGGCAGATGAAGCATCTGACATAGAGGTAGCACAGGGTAAAGCAGGAGCGATGACAATGTCCTCCCCTCCCATGTACACAGCCAAGTAGAAGACTTTTTGGCCAAATGGTTTTTCCACAAGAGAAGGGAAGACTTTATAAATTCGGATTAGTTCTTCGAGAGTTTTCTTTTTTCTCCCATACTGGGGATTGAACTCAGGAGTGCTGTTCTACGAGGCTACATGCCTGGCCCTTTTTATTTTGAGACAGGATCTCACCAAGTTGCAGAGGCTGGCCTCAAGCTTTCGATCCTCCTGCCTCAGCCTTCCCAAGTTGCTGGGATCATAGGCGTGCGCCACTGTGCCAGGCTTTTGTTCTTTGCTTCTCCGTGCCTTTGCCTTGGTCCTGGGGTGGGGCTGGTGAGTCATGTTTGCAGAGAGAGGCCGGGGTGTTGGGGAGGCGCAGGCTCAACTCAGCCTGAGTTTGGAAACTATGAAGGGCCATTCACTATCAAGGAAAATGCAACAGAGTGTTTTGCAAACATGCTTCGAAACATGTTTACTCTCCAGTAAAAAAAAAAAAAAGAAAAAAAAAGTGACAGTTTCAATAAACAATGAAACTCATTTGTTGCATGTTCAAGCTCTTAGCTTATCTGAAATACATGCCAAGCCGAGATTGGGAAACACCGAAGACTTCAAACACCTTAAAGGGCTCCACTAATTCAGTTATGAGTGCTGTAGAAAACTTGACTTCCATCAACTAGAAAGGAAAACAGGACGCGTACAGGCCACTGTATGGCGTGGGTCTGTTCTAATTATAAATAACAGCCACGAAATTCCCAAGAGTTATGCAGGAACCTACGCAATTCCTATTAATAATTTTTACTACCACTGTATGACAATACACAGCTCATATACATCACCTAGGGTGACTCTGATAATAAGTCCTGCAAAGCGGGCACTATTATCTCTGCTCACAGTTGAGAATGTTGAAGCCCAGGAAGGTAAGTCTCTCCACTACAGGAAGAGTGTCAGCAGAACGTGGAGCCCACTGGGAGCACATGTTGAGACTTCAGTTCCCACGCAAGGACAGGGGTCTGAATATCTGGTATCCTGTGGCCCTGGGCTCTATCTGTGAGAAAGTTCTCACTTCACTGGTTTTCAGAGACTAAACCTGCCACCCTTAAAGAGACCGGTCTGCTCAGCAGAATATCCTCTCCATTTGACTATGTCTCACTGGCCAAAAAAAATCTGAAAGAAATCTACAAACAGAACATCTCAAAATAGGTGGGAAATGGGGTTCAAAGCACCCACGTGAGATACAGGAAGGCTAACTCTTCTCCACACTTCTTTGCCTTGTTTTATCTCGGCTAGGTTCCCCGTGCAGAGGTGATTTGACGATAAAATTATAAAACATTGATGAATGGAGGAAGACTACCAGGATTTGTGTAAACTACAGAAGATGCTTTCTGACATGACATTTTTTTTCTCCTGTGAACATATCTTTATTCTATTTCAATTTATCCTCACTTTCAAATGAGAAAACTGAAGCTCAGAGAGGTTAAGTAACTTGACCTTTGTCTCACAGCAACTTAGGGGCAGAGTCCAAGTTTCTAATCAAGGTTTGGACTCCATATGTGCAATCAGATTAAAAAGAATATCCAGGACCAGCTTGAAAGGGAGAGAAGTCACAGAGGTCAGCCTGAAGGTGGTGGCAAAGGGAGGGAGCAACGGTCCTAACCTTGAGCTCTGATGGTGGCTATTCTGGGGAACTGGCATGATGTTGCAGAGCCTGGGATCTCCGTGAGGCCACATCCCCCCTTCTCTCCCATCTGCCACTTCTCTGAATCACGGCCCAATCTATCCCATCAGTGAAGTGCTTCTCCACCTTTAAGGTGCCCGCCAAGCTGGCCCCACCTCAGCAGCTCTGGGGGAAGGCAGGGTTCTGCCTTGTAACAGATGACCTGATGCTGACCCTGCAGAGCCGGGACCAACCCTTGGGGAGCTAGCCGGGTTGGGCGATGAAGAGGGTTTTAGGCGGATGCTGTTGAGAACCAGCTCAGAGGCTGCATTCCTACGGTGGGCATCATTAAAGAGACACAAAGGTGGCCAAGTGTGGGACCCAGTACGGGTTAACAATGTGACCAGAAGGTCTTGACACATTGGTGTACCCAGGGAGTGGGAGTCAGGAGTCTCCTGTGTCCCCGCCTTACCTTGGTGCCTGGGCTTCGGTATCCAGCGCAGGAAGGCCAGCTGCGCCCCCTGGGCCCACCGGCTCCCTGGAGGGGCTGGGCAGTCCTCCTCCGAGCACACCCTGGGCCTCCCGCTCCTCCTCCCTTACCTGGCGGCTCTGCTCAGGGCCCCGTGGGGAGGACAGGACGCTGGGAGTACCTTTCGCAGACTCGCACGGTCCAGGCGGCGATGATCCACAGGGAGATGCTGAAGACGAGCAGCACGGTGCCGGGGCAGATGGTCATGAGCGTCTTCATGACGAAGCGCGTGTTGAAGTTGATCTTGTTGAGCGCCCCGATGCTGCGGGAGGAGGCGTCCGTGAAGAGCTTGCTGTGCAGCAGCATGACGCGCGCGATCAGGTAGAGGCGCAGGAACATGGGGATGGACAGGATGATGTCCACGTCGGCCTCGGCCCGCGACGGCGTGTAGGAGAAGGCCAGGCGCGCCGTCCAGAAGAACTTGTACTCGCCGGGGATGGGGTGGATGGCGCACACCAGCATCTCCAGGCTGATGTAGAGGATGCGCTCGTAGGTCATGGCTATGCGCCAGTCGTCCGCGCCGTTGTCGATCACGAAGAGCTGCGGGAGCACACAGGGTTAGTTGGCGGGGCCAGCACTGGGCGCCACAGCAGGGCTCAGGGGGCGGGCGGCTGCCGGGCACGGGTCAGCCGGCACCTCGGGCCTCCGACAGGGGCCTCGCTTTCCTCCTCCGGAAACGGTTTCCTGGGATGTTGGGATTTACTAGGGGTGGAGCTCCGTAGTGAAGTGCCTTCCTAACATGTCTGAGGCCCGTCCCCTGCACCACGAAAGAACAAAGCCCGAGAGTCCTTCCTTCACAACAAGGAAACCCCAGGCGCTGCGTAAGGGCTTGGTGGTAGGTAGGGCGCCTGCCTGGCATCCCTGAGGCCCTGGGCCTGACCCGCGGCACCAAGAAGGGGGGAATTCCCCAAGGGTTAAGTGTCATTTGAAGGCAGATGTGAGGACTGTGGCTGGGGGGGCCCATCCTCCCCCCCCCCTCCAGCCCCGCCAGGGAGCGGGGCTGGAGGTTGGGCTGATCATGGGTGACCAGTGACTTATTCAGTTCCACCTGCTCAATGAGATCTCCATAAAAACCAAAGGACAGGTCCGGAGAGCCTCCTATTGCAAACCCATGGAAGTAGCTGGAAGATGGCCCCCCTAGAAAGGCCTGGAGCTCTGGGCCCTTCCCCCACGCAGCGCCCTCTGGATCTCCTCCCTCTGACTCTTCATCTGCGATATACTCTGTCATAAACCAGCAACTGTGTCCTCTGAGCTCTGTAAATTTCTCTAGCAAATTCATCAAATCTAAGGAGGAGACCATGGGAGCCCTGGTTTAGCGCGGATTGGTCAGAACCACAAGGGGGATTCTGAAGTGGGGGTGGTATGGCAGGACTGGGCCCTTAGCCTGTGCCGTGTAATGCTAACTTCAGGTAGGTACTGTTCAAACTGAGCTGAACCCCAGGTCACCCAAGGGTGTCCGAGGGAGAATTGCTTGCCGTCTGGACAAGAACTCCACCAATGGGGTGAGCAGAGTGTTCTGTGTTGCGGGAGGGAATTGGGAGGAGAGAACAGTTGGGTAGGTTTGGGCTATACACTTCTAAGGTCCCTTCCAGTCTGAAGGTGCCAGACCCCCAAACTGGCCACTCCGTGACAAGGAGCAAGAACAGCTCTTGACTATTAAAAACACATCCCACCAGGCCCAGAGCTTGGAGGAGGCTGCAGAGATGAAAATTGAAGTTTCCTGCATGAGTGAACTCACAAGGGCTGGCACAGAGTCCTGCTCCCCGCTCAGAGCAGGGACCCGCGAGTGTCTGCTGGCAGTGCTGTGCTCCGGGTGTGCCACGAAGCGTTCCTGGCATGGGCTTTGGAGAGGGCTGCCTGATCTTAGCACTAATGTGCTCTGTGATCTTGTGTAAGTCACCGAACTTCTCTGTGCCTCACCAAATTAAGTTACTGTACATGTGAGTATGTCACACTGAGTCCCACTGTCATGTATAACTATAACGCACAGTAAATTTAAAAAAGATAATATTGGGGCAGGGCTGGCAAAAGAAGTCTGATTTAGTCTGGAAATACAGGCTCCCCTCAGGGGGAGTCAGTGAGATGGAGGGAGGTGGGGGTGGGGGATTGGCCAAAGACTGAGCCCCTCCCTTCACTCTGCCCAGGGGCATTAGGGACAAGAGGCTCTTCACTCTGTCCATCCCATTGCTCCTTCAAGGGTCTGGGCGCAAGGAAGCTTCTGCTACGTTTGTTTGCTTTGTAACCAGGGATTGAACCCAGGGGCTTAACCACTGAGCCACATCCCCAGCCCTTTTTATGTTTTTACTTTGAGACAGGGTCTCACTAAGTTACCTAGGGCCTCCCTAAGTTGCTGAGGTGGCTTTGAACCGACACCCTCCTGCCTCAGCCTGCAGAGTCGCTGGGGTTACAGGCGTGCGCCACCGGGTCCGGCCTTCTGCTCTGTTTTGGTGTCAGTCATCAAGTACCCCCTCTTCCCCCTCACCCGCTGCCCTGCCCACAGACACCAGGACCCAGGAGAGAGCCTGTGCTGTCCAGGCCTGAGGCCTCTAAGAAGAAGCAGGATCCATCAAGGGGTCGCCATCATGTCTGAATGAATTCAAGGCAAACCTATCCAGTCCCGTGACGTGACAATAGGGGTCACCTTGGCTTGGGTATCTGCCTGGGGCACTTGTTCCAGGCAACTCAGCCAGGGCCAACGGGTAAAGGCTGCAGGAGGGAGGCCAAGCTGATGGTGGGTCTCTCTCCTTGCTGAGCCTGGTCCCTTCTCCCTGCCCAGGACCCTACGGATCCATAGTCACCTGTGAGTGAACTTCATGAGCCACGAAAGACCATTGACTCCTTCACTCAACAGCTGTGTGCTGAAGGCCCTCCATCTACGGTGGGGGTGGGATTCAGGGTGGGGGGAAAGCCTGTGTGACCCGGGTCACCCCCGGTGAGGATGGTGGAGGGGAGGTAACGTCCACAATGGGAGCACCTGGCCAGGGCTCAACAGGAAGCTGTCATCGCAGAACGGGAGGCGCACAGCACAGCACTACAGGGAGATGCCCCTCCTTCTTCCCCAGGGCTGAGGAGCCCGGGTTTTCCCAGACGCAGGATCCCCCACCAATTAGAAAGACCTAATGGCCACTCCAAGGGTTCCCCCGGCTCCTAACTGCCACCCAACAGGCCGAGCCATGGCAACATGACTGTCTGGCCAAACTCTTCAAATATGAAATTAAAACCATCCACCCTGTAATACGAATCCCATCCGGTTACTATAGTAACTGGGTTCGCTCTGGGCAGGAACTGAAGCGATGAGTAACAGATTTCTTTGATTGCTTGATAGGGAACGGGATTGTATGCCATCTGATTGAAGGATAGGGGGACAGTGGCTCTGCCCTGCTTGGTGGGAGGGTACAGGTCCCAGGGCCTCTCAGGTGTCCTGGTGCAGGTGGGGGAGGGGGGTCTAGTGGATTTGGAGGCTTGTGAGCTCCCACCCGTGTTTTAGCCACGTTATCTTAGGCCAGTCACAGGACTCAGCGCGGCCTGCTTGCCCATCAGTATCACAGGGTAGTGACCTTGACCTTGCCTGCCCCACGGGATCAGTGCTAGGCGCCCTCAACATAGATAACAACGGGATTGTGCTTTGCCGACTACTCTGAAAAGTGAGGGACGCTTGAGGCGGCTGCCTGAGGGCACTGGACGGGAGGCATCCCTTGGAAGCCTCGGGCTGGCGAGGTTTGGTGGCTCTTCCAGAACACCCACGTCTGTCCCATATGAGGACACCCAATGCCTTCTACTTTCTGACCCCTGGAATCTGGGCTCTCCAAACCTGTCCTTGCTCCCCTTCAATTGAGGACAGATAACAGCCACCGCCCTCCTGCTTCCCCCACCCAGCACCCTGTTCGTTCCTTGAAAAGCCCAAATCTCAATCATGTATTCGTTTGACTTCTTCAGGGTTTTGTCTGTCTCTCCCCTTAGACTTATTGTTTTCAACTTGTCTGTACATTTGAATCACTTGGAAATCCCATTTTTAAAAATCCCATACCCAGGGGCTGGGATTGTGGCTCAGCGGTAGAGCGCTCGCCTATCATGTGCGGGGGCCTTGGGTTCGATCCTCAGCACCACATCAAAAATAAATGAATGGAATAAAGGTATTGTGTCCAACTACAACTAAAAAAATATATATATATAAAAAAATCCCATATCCAGGCCCACTTTATATCAAGTAGGTCTGAATCTTTGGGCGGGGTGGGGTGGGGGGATGGGTGAGGCCCAGGCATTGGGATTTTTTTCTTAAATCTCCCCAGGTGACTCCAAAATGTAACCAGGATTGGGACCTACTAGTAACAGCTGGAACTCCAAAGGATCAGGGGTTCCGGCAAAGGCTCTGTGGTACTGGCCTAGCCCAGATCTTGACATGTAATAGGGGTTCAATGGATGCTTGTGTGGTGAATCAATACCCATCACCGTGTGACCCTGGACAACCAATCTTCCCTCTCTTGGGCTCAGTTTCCTCCTCTGAGGAAGGAGGGGATGGATTAGATTAGATTAGGAGCCTCCCTCTCTAAGGAGCCTCAGTTCTGTGGCTTGTGTGGACTCTCAATGGCACCTCCCACCTTGCTGGTGTCCTCTGTCCATGGGAGCTCTCTGGGGACAGGGTCCACGCCTGGCTCATCTCCCCTCCTCCCCCTGCCTGGGATGGTGCCTGGCTCACCGTGAGTGGTCTGTTGGGTTTTAGTGAATGGGGGGCGGGTAGAAGATAGGTATGGACAGTTGCCCATGGCCCCTGTTAGCCACTCAGAATGGAAATTCCCGTCAGAGATTCATTCCTAAGCCTGTGACTAACAAAAGACCTGCCAATTCATCTCAAGCCATGGGAAGGGAGACTGTTGAATTTCCCAAGGGTGGTCCAATATGGAGGGCACTGTCCCAGGCGATCTCCAAACCTTAGAAAGTTCTAGAACTACCAGGCACAGTGGCACACACCTGTGATCTCAGAGGACTGGGAGGCTGAGGCAGGAGGATTGAAAGTTCAAGACCAATTTATCAAGGGCCTAAGCAACTTAGAGAGAACCCATCTCAAAAAGTAAAAAGGACTGGTGGTGCGGTTCAGTGGTTGAGCACCCCTGGGTCCAGTCTGCCCAGAAGAGAAAAAGAGAGTTCTAGAGCTAATCTGGAATCAGGATTTTGCGTAGCACTAGATCAGAGGGTCAAGGACAATATTCAAGGACGGTCCTCTCCTAGGGTTTGGTCTCCTTACCCAGCCCTGGTTCTACAACAGCTTAACTGTTCACCTTGGATGGATTCAGGAAAAGTTCCAAGGTGATGTGGACAGAATCCAGCACAGTGGGGAGCACCGAGGGTCCCTGGAGGGGAGAAAGCTCAGAGGCCCGGAGCTAAGAGCAAGTGTCCTCCTGACCTGGCCTGGGTTTGCCCCTTACACCAAATCCGTCTGCCGCTTTACTGGGGATTCTGAGAGCTTGTAGGATTTTCAGTGTGTTAGTGTAATCCCCAGGGCTTTGGGAGGGAGGTTTTACACAACAGAGTGATTCCAAACT